TCAAAGCAAAGGACTGCAGAATGTAATTTGTCTCCTTTACTGGTAAAACTTTGTTTCATTTAATACTGACTTCTGAATCCAAACTGTTATAATATTGTTACGAAATGTACAGGCGCGGTAAGATGGTTTCCCCGCAAAGCAGTTTTAGGCTTGCCATAAAATGGAAAAAGAAGACAAATTTGCCACATTTGGCGAGAAATCGCCCATTTGGCGACAAAATCGGCGATATGCCTTGGACGGATGGAGAACCTTCTGGAACGAATTCTTACCGGTTTAGCCCAGAATGCCTCGTGCGAGATAGTTAGTGTGTCTCGAGTTAGTCAGTACGGAGTCGATCGAGTTGACACCGGGCAGGCAGTGCCGAGTGGATCGTCGAGTGCATCGCGTGTTGTAGTGTGGAGAGTCTCGAGAGTACGTGGAGTTCCGAGAACGACCGAGCAGAGTTGGGAGCTGTACTCTGGTGCTTTGCAGTGAAGCTGTCTCCACCGTTATTGTCTGACAGTGTGAAGCCTGTGTCGCTGATTGTTCCAGCGTTTTTATAGTAGATCTTTTAAGACTATAAAAGTGTTTTAGAGAAGTCCTGATTAATATTAGCTAAATGAAGTGTGTTTCGATACTTCATCGTCATATGTCGTCATTATTCACTACAAATCCTCACGAACCCTGTACGAACGTGAAGGAAGAAAATAACCTAGCAACAATATCATTATTAATTTTCGGTATTACTTTACAAGCATTACATTTTTCAGAATTATACCAAATATCAGAAGATGATTAATTCGGCATCTGGGTATTTAAGATGATTATTATTTTTAAAAAAGTGAATTTTTCCAGGTCTTAAGCGTTCCGTAGAAATACCAAATTAGAAACATTTTTAGACAGAATGGTAAGAGACAGTAAGAGGATTTGATTTATGGATAAGTTTAGGCATGTTGTTGTCTATTGTGTCAGGACCTGGAGCTTTCTTATGAGATAAATTTTTCAAAATAATAGGGATTGTGTCAAAAGGGTATCGTTACAAACATTCGAAATATCATTTTTTTTTTCTTTAATGTATATCAGCGTCTTGAGTCATTTAAAAGAAAAAAAATAGCAAAGATATTATTAAGAGTAGCTGCTTATATGTCATTATTAACTGATATGTTTGGATTGCACTTGGAATGAAAATGACTTAAGTTGACATTTAGCTACATCTTCGAGTTATCAGTTGCAATTATATAATAAGTTCCTTAAACATCCTTATTATTTTAGGAAATTTTTCTTCAACTCATTCTTTTCTATTTTTTTTTTTTTTTAACTGCACATTGTTTCATTCAGTGCAAGTATTTTGGAGTTCGTAAAAAATATAGTTATCATCAGACAGTCATTAGTCATCTAAAACTTCTTTATTGCAGATATGTAAGTTTCTACCTCAGACTTTTCTTATAATTGCATACGTAGCATTAATTTACAACGAAATAATTGTAGCAATTTTTTTCTTCTATCACTTGGCTTTACCTTTTGTTTTGTACTCTACAGCTTTAATTCTTAAACTGCTGCTAAGCCTATCGCAAGTACAGCTGTTTTACACATTATACTAAAATTTACGTACAAAGATTACAGATTTCAATTTGTTTTTAGTTGTATGACTTTTTTATAATTTACTTTTTCAAACATTTCTTTTACTTTTTGATGTGAACTCCTCGGAGTGTTAGATTAATGTAATCAGAAGTTTCCAAATTTCATTTTTTTTTTATTTAAAAATTTCTGTATCCCAGTTTGGGTTATAAATCAGTAACAAACAGTCTTTAAAATGGAGAAAAGTATACTATTCGAAACCTCTGTAGCAAACGAAATAATTAACACACGAACAACAACGCCAGCACCGGCAGACGGCGAAATAGCCATAACGAAGCATTTATAGGGCATCATACAAGGAAGAATTACTGAAAACCTCAATTAAAGAAATAATTTAAGAAGTGTTTTCGTTTATCTAATGTAGGTCTTCCGAAAAAGTAACAATGGCTCATGATAAATCCTTTTATATCTTCACAGATTGCACCTTCTGGCAAAATTTAAGAGCGCCAGAGATTACGCTGGACAGCAAAATGCTTAGCTCCTACAGTGCATGCCAGAGAAGATTGATTTAAATAACTTATATTGGAATTTTATATTGGAATTTATATTGGAATATCTCAGTAATTATCACAAAATGCTAGTAAAAAATAATTTTCTAGACCTTCCTCGATTAGAATCCAGGGCTTAATTTCTAAGATTAGAAGTGACAGAGCCCTATAGGAGACCGTCAGCAAAGAGGAACAAGAGTAAATAAATAAATAAAATGACTATTAAACTCATTAATAATTTTAAAATTAAAAAGTTAATTACTATCAAATTAATTAAAAGCTATTTAATTAATGTTTATAAATTGTTATTAATCAATAATTATTATATAATTAATTAATAATTTAACTGATAATTATTAGATAATTAATTATTATTTATTGAAATAATTAAAGATTGAGTAATTAAATAAGTAAAATTAAATAAAATGTAAAGAGATAAATTGAAATTTAATAAGCGAATTTTAATATAATTTTATTGTTAAAATAAAATTTTAGAGATGAAATTTCTACTGAAATTGTTATTCAGTTACATAAAAGAAGTGTCGCTGCCTTCTTATTCAGAGCTCCAGTGCGTTCCAGCTAGAATTATGATTTATTACAAAAACTGAGAAGCACCGAAGCCGAGGTCCGGTGGACTCCGGCCCAATTTAAGCTCTGATCGTAGGGGGGGGGGAGTTCTTTTATCATCACAAAAATTAGATATATTCAAAGTATAGCTGATGAAGATTCCAGGGTGAAACAGAATGAGGGTATGAATGGGTGGAAACAAAAAATGAGGGGAAATTTGGTGAGAGAGAACGTTCTCTTTGACCGCGGCTCTCTGCTGATATAATTATAGACATCAAGCAGATGTCTGTCAAGGGTAAAATGAGTTCTGAATCTGACTTCTAAGGATGAATGTAAAGTTGCTGTTTATGTTTCTCCCCCCTTCATTAGTGGATACTGTGTGAAGACGATGTATAGGACGTGCTTGAGTAGTTTATCTCAGTATTTCACTCTTATTGTACTTGCTGTCACTTAACGCACATTTAAGAACACAAATTTTCCTTCCTGCGAGGATAACTAACTGCAACCATCGATAACAATATACTAGATACGATAGCATGGTGAGAAATTTACGCGTTCCTAAACAAACTCCCCAGAATTTATTGCCCTTTATAAAGGGAAAGGTTTCCGCATGTGAGTGAGGGGACTTTACTTGAACGTCTCATGTTCCGAGTTCGTATTTCTAGGGAAATAGAGTATTGCAAGGTCTGCTAAATCATAATTATTGTTAAACTAAAACGTTAGGAATTCTAATTTTTTTCCCTTTAAATTGTGGTTCATTTTATAAAAAGAAGTACCGGACCTCATCTTATTTAGGGCTCCGGTGCGCTCCGGCTAAAATTGTAATTTATCTTGAAAATTGAGAAGTACCTGAGCCGGGCTCCGGAGCAATTTTCTATTTAGTTAAATGTATATTCAAACATTTGCGTGTTCAAGCATTAACCACTATCCGATATGCAACTCCACGTTGTTAAATATTAAAGTATATTGGTAGATTCCAACGTTTAAGGAAGTAAAATTTTTTTCAAGAATCTCCTTTGCCTCTATAGCTCGAGTAACTAAAGCACCAGACCTCACTTTTGATATGTCTTAACATTCAGCATGTCTGTCCAAGATTATTCTTTTCCAGATTTCTATTTAAAATGGGAAGCAATGAGATTCTTCCTTTCTCATCACCTTTAATTTTAAATCGAAAAAGGGGACACTTGGAGGAAATTGCAAAACTATTAATAATTGTTTTCGTAATTTAGGCTGAAAAGCTTGAAATATTGCTAGAATTAATAACCTGCTTATTACATGCATCTAAGTTTTTATGTTAATTAACCCAATTATTTTTTTAATTTCTTTACTTTGAGTTGTATATTCGTCATCGCCCTTCGAAAAGTTTAGTTTAAATTACTTAAAGTAAAAAAATAAGCTTAGAGTTCGTGAGTTTTCAGCGAGAACTTGGAAGCTTAGACTCACCGTTACTCTTCTTTAGTTCCCAACTGTTCATTTGAGTTTTTTTTTTTTTTTTTATCAGCTTAATTTTTCAGTTAGCCGCTGTCGCTTTTCGATCACTTAGGGATGAGATAAGATTCAGTTAGATGTGTAATTTTGCACTACTCATTCTATTTAATTTGAACATGTGCTCTGGTTACATGAAAGTAACCAGAACGTTAGTTGAAAGTTAGCAGAGCTCTGTTTCTGTTAAACTTTTGAGTATGTAAAACCGTCCAATGACATGTTAATAAATATCTTCTATTTTAAACTTCTGCATGAGTTAGATGGCAGACGAGGCGAAACTTCATTTGACATTCATTATTTCTACAGTTGTTTTGAGAGATATATAACATAGAGAATTGCAATGAAAAATGAAATTTGAACGAAGAAAAATTATTGCATAGGAAACTTCTGCTTCATGATTCAAAAATATAATATTCGGATGAATATTTTTGCAATTTTATAAAAAAATTATTAATATACGAAATATTTCATTTCTGTCTTTTTAGTTTACATACCGCAGCATGCACAAGTAGACATTTCTTAAAGTCAATTTTTGTCTCTTTTGAGAATTTTACAAAGCAGTTTATATAAAATTTCAAGTGTTAAGTTTGCATCTGATTCAATAGATTGCAAGATTTTTTTTTTAAACTTTCTGCAATTAAGTATCGCTTTTATATAATATTCACAAGTCAGAGAATCATCCTCAATTTCATAAATTCTTTTCAACAAATACATATGGTCACCTTTGTTAAAAAATCGCATTTTATTCTCACTGAACAAAAATCCTCTCATAACACTGACATTTTGAAAATTAATTTCGAAAAAAAATTAATTACAGATATTGATTGATGCCATTATTTTCAGGCTGAGCGTATGAAACTGATTGCTTGCACCAGAGCGAAAACAGTTGCTGAAATCAAGTTCTTTAATCTCAACAGCATGGATGAAGGCTTGATGGAACATCCAATGGTAATATCTATTATTCGATATGAATTTATTTTAGGCTTCTGTTGAACATCGACTTCAGTAAAATGTATATTAAAAATTAAAAGACAGAAAATGATGGACATAATTTTTATTTAATAATCATACCAACTTTAAAAAAATGCATTGCATTATTCAATAGAGATTCTCTTTTTATGTTTTATATAGTATTGAAAATTCTTACATTGTGTGATTTCGAGAATTTTATTTTATTCTTCCCCCGTTCCCATTGCTGCATTAAGAGAGAAATTTGGAATTTTTAACCAGCTTATTAACCTTGTCTTAACTGATAATACTTTTTTCGATTATCATTATAAATGTTATATGAAAGCCAAAGATTAATTTAATACGGAAGTAAAATTAGGTCAGGAAAAGAACTCTTTTAAACTGAGTATACTTCATATAAAAATTTGTACAGCGCAAAATCACAAATATCTGTCTTTTTCAGGGGCAAAAATATTTTCCATTAATTTTTTTTTTGGGGGGGGGGGGGGGGGGGGGGGGGAAGAAAGGATCATTTTATATACGATAGCAATAGATTTAACTACGTCTTCGTTTATAATTATTTCATATCGAACTTTAAAGTTTCAACGAATTTCGGCTTGATAAACGCCATTCTAAATTTTCTTTCGATAAGCAATTGAAAAAAAAAAAAGAGTTAAATTTAGTGTAAAATATTGTATTATAATGACATACTTGTAGTATAAAGTTTTTCCCTTTTCATGCTAACGTATTCTTCAACTAATCTTCTGGATAAATATGTTGATAATATTTCTGTGGTTCGATTCCCATTGATTAAACTGTTTGGGTGCATAACATTTTTGCAATTTCCTTGTGGGTGATGTAAACAAAAAGCCATTTTCCCGAAAAATTACGCCAGATTTACGAAAGTATTTCTTTCTTTAGCCTTATAATCCTTGAATGCTTTCCCAAATGAATAATGTCGTCTAAATATGCCTAAGAGTTCAAACTCTAAACTATGTTTATTGTAAAAAAGAAGTTTGAAGTACAATTTGTAAAATACACACCTTTAAAGCTCAGAGACATATCATTTTCAAACAGGGATTTATTTATCAAACGAAACAATCTTTGCGAATTTCTTCGAGAATGTGAAAACGTCATTCCTTGTTAAGTTTCTATACTATTTCAAGAATTACCTACATAATAATCAAATAAAGCTACAGTTGTTGTGCTTAGCACGATGAAGTGACGTTGGAAAATAAATGTTAACAGGAACAGGTTTAGAGAGCCTATATTTAAGCTATCTTGGCTTAATCTATTTGTTTGACAGTAACATTAGAACACGATGACGAATTTTATCGTAATTAGGAGCATGTAATATGTCTATGGCTGGCTGGCATGGGCCTTGGACGCAGACCAGATTTATCTGTGACCGAAATCCTAAGCGATTTGAGATATGGGGTCCTTTATGAGGGATATAAATCAATTTTTTTTATATGTGATATGGTACAATATTTGAGGGTGGTCCCAAGAAAGTAGGGGTCCTAAACGTAAATCCGGCGCTGTTTAAACGCTATGTAAGCGACAAGACGACTTTGACCAGTTCTGTCCCTTAGCGAAGCATTTCCCTCGAGACGGATCCAAAAATCTCTCATGTCTCTTACCCTACAATCAAACCATTCAAGACTACTGTCGGCTCGTCATGTATTTTAAATGAATCCAAGCTGCAAATACACTATACAATTACAGACATCCAGTTCATTTCCGGGACTTGATACTGTACGGTTGCCAGGAATGGC